GGCACATGAGCGTGGCTTGGCTGCATACACTGGTGTTGCATCATACGCCCGAGCCTTCATTGGGGGCGTTGAATGTGGCACACTCTCAAAGCCAGCATGCAGGCAGAACGGCACGCAACGTCTATGGCCGCACGCAGCTCGATCACAAGTTTGTGTCCAGTGAAGCACAGTATGGCCACCAGTTTGTGTCTGAAGAATGGCACAAGCTCATGAAGCTGGTAGATGTAGAGGATCAGATCCAAGCCGAGGCCGTGGATGGGCAGACCTGCGTGCAACAAGTGGTTCATAAACAGGTGGTCATCCAGTCGTCTCGGGTCAGAAACGTCAGCACACAGGTGCAAGCGACCGTGGGCACGCAAACAGATCCCGAGGTTGAAGCCTGCCTTGATGCTGAGGATGACATTGACGATATCATTGCCGGTTTGGATTTAGACGAAGCCGAGGCAGCCGAATCGTCCATGCCAGTTGCCGTGCCGCGAGCCGTGAAAGAGGCTGCGTCGACGGCCTTGCAGCAAGAGCCAAGCCAGCACAATGACCAAACGCAACAACAAGAGTATGAGGATCAGATTTGGCTAGCTCAATGTGTGCGGCAAGCGTGGAAGACAACATTTCGCGACTGGGATCAGTATCGATTGGCACAGGCTGTGACTCGGCACGAGGCCCAGGACGGCTGGCTGTTGGCCGTGGCCCCGACTGGCATGGGCAAGACGCGGTGTACACTCGCTCACCTCCAGCCACGCAAGGTCGTGGTGTGGATAGCCCCGCTTCGTGAGCTTGCCAGAGACTGGTGCCGCCGCTTCGAGCAGGCTGACATTGTATCGCAGTGGGCTAAGAATGATGGCCGTGACACGCAAGTCAACGTGCAAGTGGTTGTCATGACGGTCGACTTTTTGGTTGGCCATGGGATGATGTGGGTGCAAACTCTCGTGCAGCAAAAGCGTCTGGCCATGCTGGTGATGGACGAGGTTCACACAATGCTCGTGGACACCAGCTATCGAGAGAGTCTTGTTCGCTGCCCAGGCCGGCTGGACCATCTTCGCCAAAACCCATCCGTCAAGTGTGTGGGCCTGACTGGCACGCTTTGCCCCAAAGATGAGCGGGCTCTGCTCCAACAGCTGGATTGCACGGAGGACGCTTCGTACCAGACCTTTCGTATGCCAACCATGCGAACCGATCTTCGGCTAGGGGTGCAACAAGGAACAACAAAGGCATTTGAGATGTTTGTGAAACGCCACTACGGCCTGTTGGAGCAAGAGGGCCGCGTGGATCGCATGCTGATATTTTGTGACACGAAGAAGCAGGTTGAGGCATTGTCGACTCAGTTGGCACGCACGTTGGGTCACGAGCAGTCGCTGGCCGTGGATGCTGACATGTCAGCCGAAGACACACGGGTCGCTCTTGAGCAGTGGAGGAGCGGCACGCAGAGTCTGGTCTTGGTGGCCACAAGCTGCTTGGGCGCGGGCTTGGACATGCCCAACGTCCGGAAGGTGATCTGGTTTGGCAGCGGCTACAACGGCTACACCTTGTCGCAGGCCTTTGGCCGGGCTGGCCGCGACCGACGGGTGGCGAGGCCACGCTATGGATACCACCAGGCACAGCGGTTTCGGAAGACCTGCAGCCATTTGCAAGCATGAAGCGCTGCCTGACTATTGGACTACAAGCATAGACGTATGTCCAGAAGCTGCTGGAACACTCTGGAAGATATCAGTCCAGGATGATGTCTGATGATCCTTGACAGCGCTCGTCAAGGAAGCCTGTAGAACATTGTGATTGTTCCTGCCACCGAGATATAAGTACGGTCCTGTAGACCGGAAGTGGCATTTTACTTTGTACCTTTCCCGTTTCAATTTCCTCTGTTTGCTTTGTGAATTGACCACAAACAGATCACATCCTAAAACTGACCTTTGAGCTTGGTTGGCTGCTGGATGGGGAGGGCCACATTTGTGCGGCCGCAGGAGCGCCGGCTTGCACCGTCTGCTCCATGATGCAACCGACCTTCACAGCGCGCCATCCAAGCTGTGAAGCACATGGGGCGCCAGTATCACACGAGGGCCAGACGCGGGCCAAACGAGCGCAGTTGATGGTACCATCGGCGCCCATTCAGTCAGACGACTTTAACACGGCTCTGCTATGGATGTGCACCTACTGCTGGGCCTGCAGCTGCAGCAGAGACCGCTTGGTTGCTCACCACCAGCCTTCTAGCTGCCCGGCCATGAAAGGGCGCTGTTTTCGATGCCACTGCCGCGGTCATGGTAGTAGCAATTGCCAAGTGACCTTGGGGGCGGGTGTTTGCTACCGGTGCTGAAGGCCGCAGAAGATTGGGGGTGATCGAGTGGTGGAGTGCACGGGGCGGGCCTGTGCCCAGCGCAACCGCGAGGCCATCCGAGCCTTGGTCGCGTCTGTGTCACGCAGTCAAACTTTGCACGGCATCATGCAGCGCATGGAGTGCCCGGCTGAGCTGCTGGCAGTTGGAGGGCGGGACTTTGACCCGTCGGAGATGCAGGCGCTTGTGGGCTGGCTGTACGGAGCAGAGGGGCGCGTTGGCCATCCGCGCGTGTTGAAGTTTGTGATTGAGGCGAAACGGCAGTTTGCAATGTTGAAGTGAGTGTTTGTTTGTTTTTCAAGCGGGGGTATAATTGAGACGTTTGACAGCTTGTGGGCCGTTTGTGTTGGACGACATACGCTGATCAAGCATGGATGTGAAGAGATACTGAAAAATGAAATCAGTTGCGTTGGAGGGGAAAGGAATTGACGATGGCAGGGAAACATCGAAGGAAGAAATATGGATGAGTAATGATGAAAGAGTAGAAATGAGAAAAAATGTGGAATGGAGAAAAAGAATTAGATTCCTTCCAAGGCTCGTGAAAATCGAAAATAAGTGCTTTTTCTGATGTGAGGAGTGCAATCGATAAGTAATCGAAAACGATCAAAAACGATAAGTACTCTTGATAAGTTCGAACTTATCGATGCCTCTTTAGTAAATCCAGATAGATAAGTGCTTGGGTTGACCGGTATTTGCCATCACTTACTAAGTATCGTTTCACTCGTTTTCGATTTTTAGTAATTACTAAAGCCGATAAGTTGTGCTTGAAAGGAATCTATTGGTTGGTGGTAGGTGAGGAAAGATAAGTTGGAAGGTGGAAGTAAAAAAATGTTGAATAAAGAGGAAATGAGTAGAGAAAAGAGGTGGAATATGAGGATGGTGTGAAGAAGGTGTTTTTGAAAAGGGGAAAAGAAAATAAGATAAAATTGAAAGAAAATGTGAGAAAATGAAGGGAAAAATAAAAAAAAAGTAGTAGGATGAAAGAAGTGATGAAAAGAAAGGGAAGTGAGGGGGATAGGAGTAGAGAAGGAGGAAAAGTGAGGAGGGAAGGTAGGGAGAAGAAGAAGAAGGAGGGAAGATAGGAAGGAGGAAAGATAGGAAGGAGGAGAGATAGGAAGGAGGAAAGATAGGAAGGATGAAAGAGAGAGGAGAAGAGAGGGAAGAAGAGAGGGAATGATAAAAGGGCTAGTGTAAGGAATTCCGGGAATGATCCACCTTCTGTTAGCGTCAAATCGTGCTTCCACGCATTTGAACACTCCCACTGCTTTCGCACACACTCAGCATCGGTCGCTATGGG